ATGGCGATGCCAGTCGTATCGCCCGCCACTGCGCGTCTCCTCCTCGCGGCGATTCCCGGCGGCGCTCGCGGCCTCGACGGCGCCGCGCGAGCCCTTCGCGGCATGCCGCGAACCCCGGCTCGGACCGTAGCGATCCGCCGTGAGTCGCTCATCTCGTCGCCTGGAAGGCCCGTTGTTGTTGTTTCGATCCGAGCTACTCATCGTTGTGTTCGCCTTTCGCGATAGGATTTTCTTTTTTTGTTTTACTTTATTCTTTGTCTTTCAAAAACACGCACCAAACCAAACAACTTTAGCTAATAGGGGAGAGAGGAGGGGGGGGGGGGGGGGAGGGGGAACAAATCAGAGTTCGACAGCATTAAATTAACAACTCCATGATAAAAAATGTTCACGACGCACTCATCCGTATCCTACCACAATAAATATATGCCTGCTAGTTAAGAAAAGCAAATGTTAAGACTATTATAAACACCCTTCTCACTAACGCGTGTTAAATATCATCATATGCTTTTGAATTTCATAAATTTTGAAGCCTCGTCTTACTTGAGCAAAACGGAGGTATGTCGTAGGGGGTCAGATGTAACATAACGAAAAGGCACTCCTCGGATATATATAAAACTACATTGTATAAAATAAAGAGCACCATGCAATGATGTACTAAAACTAAAGCAGCGGAACCACAATATAAGCTGCAAATACAGATCGCACAACACCTCACTGCGCTTTGGACAGCGAAATTGATCAATTATGTAGAGGAATGGGATCTTACAGGAACTCCCAGGAAGCGTAAAATTAGTAAAGCAAACGCATTGCTTGTTATGTACAACATAAGGTTTATCTTTTTTTTCGCGACACATGTCGCATAATAAACTTAATACATACCATGGAAGCACCAAAATTAAACAAAAAGGACTCACAACTGCTCTGTCATTCCCCATCCCACCTTTCTTTTCACCACCACTAAAGGATTTTTTATATAGAACTGAAAAGACAAATTAACTAAATCGAAATAAAAAATATATCAATTCATATGTTGATGAAAATAAAAGACAAGACAACTCTGCTGTTTCGCACGCGCACCAATTGCGGCATAGTTAAACGCATAGGTTACTCTATAGTATTTGTAACTCTACGGCAAAACGTTTCAACTGAAGCTTAACCGCATCAATTGGCTCTGCCATACTTCGCCGCTGCTGGACGTGTCGAACGCAGACGTCAACCACGTCCATGCCATCCTGCCTATTCGAGTGTTGATTCTTCTTTTCCACGCCGCCAGCCCGTTTTTCCAAGCTCGACGTGGCTATTCTCGATGCTGCGGTGGAGGAGACGCCCGACTCCCGCGCCGCATTCCACGCCGACCGTGGCAATGGCAAGGCTAACGGATGGGGTAGAGATCCCATTCCCCCCTTCTCCCCTCCCACCCGACCTCGCTGAAGCAACCAAAGCAAGTACGCGATTACCATCCCGCACGAACGATGCATCCCCGCGGAGCAGTGCACAAGGCTGCTCATCACACCGAGGCTCAAAGGCAGTATCGAGTGCTCCCGAGCCTCTATAGGGGGGGTGGCGGCGGGTAAAGGCTCCCAGATCGCCGCCCGTGAAGAAGGCGGGCCCGGAAGACCACAACCCGAGGACAACCCAAGCGCCGCCGCGCGAGGAAACCCTTCCCCGTTAATAAATCGAAAGATCGGGTCGATAAAAAAGACGGAGAGATCGAAACGAACGGTATCCTCGGCGGGAATCACGCAGCGGTAGATGCGACGCCGGGAGATGGGAAGCACGGCGACGTCAATCGCCATCCAGGATTGCGTGGGGTTGCCATTCCCACCACCCCCGGCGGGACTATTCGGGCGATCATACCAATGCCAATAGCTGTGAACTTCGCCATCCAGAGGGTAAGGGGTTGACTGGGGTAGAGAGGGGCTGGCATGGGGAATTTTCGCATATGGCACCCATTCCAGCGGGCTCAACAGGCCCCCTTCTTGAAAATCCAAGTACGGTTGAAGATAACGAAGAAACGCGTGGCTTTCGTCGACCCCGGCGGTCGGCGACAACGGCGATGGGAGGGTGGTTGCCGGGAGCGGTTTCGTGATGAACTTCTTTAGGGCGCCGAGGACGATGTGATGATGGGGGGAGGGCGCCACCGAAGCGGAACCGCAGCCTTGGCGGACCGATTCTGGATAGCACTGCAGCACGCGCGTGATGCTGAAGTAATCGAGCAGCAAGGGTTGCCAGGCGGCGTCCTTGCCGGAGATGTAAAGCTGCGCGATATGTCGTTCCCGGCTGGTGGGGGTTCGATCCTTCAGAGCATCCCGTGGGGTGTGGTCGCCGGATCCCCGAGGCTCCGATTCAGTGTTGACGTTTTTGCTCAAAGGGGGCCTTCGACTTTGGGTGGGTGGCGTCGAGTCGAGCGTCGTTTTCGCGAGGCCTGGGAGCCCGGCAACGAGGGCGCTCAGCCAACTCTTCTTGGGGAAATCCACCACCTCCTTAGGGGTCGTGCTGCCCACCCCGTTTCCATCGTGACTGTGCGCCGCGGGGTAGTCAAAAGGGAAAACCCCTTGCAGGGATCGCCGAACGACCTCCTGCGTGCTGCGCATCACGTACTGCGTGATCACGTCTTTGAAGAAAACGATATGCCGCCGGATGTACTCCAAGGCCGCCGTCTCGACCGCGCCAAGGCGGTAAACGCGCTTACCCAACGTCGTTGGCTCCGAACTCTGAGGGGCCCATAAGGTGGGATCGTTACACCGCTTCTGCGCGATCACCACCACGAGAAAAGCGCGTATAAACTTCTGCAGAAAAAGTCCACCGGCTTCCTGGCCGAGCGTGCAGCGCATGGCGGGCGGGGATGACGATTTTGACGCCGAGAAGGACGAACCCGTCGCGGCGGTGGGGTCGAGACGAGGCAGGGGGGATAAAATCCGCGTCGACTCCACGGAATCCGCGTAATGGGGATTACCCCGTGCCACATTCCCATCCTTTACTTTATAGTGAATCCCAGGGTAGCTAATTGAGTTTCCGGCGGAGTGTTCCGCGCAGGACACAGCCATACGACACGGCGCCGACGCAGTAAAACCAGAAAGTCGACTTTGGAAAGGACGATTCGAGGCGTGGGTTTCCCGCCCGCGGTCATTCCCATCACGCCTCGGTCCATTCAACACGGTGTTTGGATACGGCAAGGCTTTATAGAGCACGGGCTTTTGCTTGGGGCGTGAAAACGTACCCCTGCCGCCGTTATGGCGGTTTTCCAGCGGTCGCGTTCCCATTCGCAGCCGTTTTTTTTTGGAGCGCCGCTGTTGGAGCAGGCGTGGGGAGTCCAGATCCACCTCATAGGTCGCGGTGCTCTCGGCGTCGTCGTCGTCGTCACCCATCGCCGCGCAATCGAGGAACGGTCGCTCCACCGCCCAACTGGAAGGATCGAAACTGTGAACCTCACTCAACACAGGGGGCCGAAGCGGTAGGGATTGCCCCTTCCCGGTATTGTCATTCTTCGCGTCAGGCTCTTCTTCGCAGTTACTTTCTCGATTGTGGCATCCATAATCCCCGCTCAACGCATCGCCCGTATTCTGATGTGATTTGAGGCTTAGACCAGAAAGGTTCCATGGCTGATAGAGCCACATGTCTGTAGGCCTCAATGGGCCGTTCTCTCGCCTCGATTTGCTTAAGTTACGAGTAATGTTGTAATTTCCTCTTCGATTTCCATTCGTGGAATGCGATCTGGTACCGGTGTAGTCCACACGTTGCTGTTCCGGAGGAGGTTCGTTCGGCAGTCCTGTCTGTTGCTGTTGCCGCTTCGAAAAATAGTCAAGATACTCTTCATAAAAGCGTTCCGCCTCGACGTTGGGGGCCGTATAGAGCATGCAAGCCTTGGGACCTTCTAGACAACTCGATTCAAAGACATGCACCACATGAGTGGTCCGGCGTCGCCGCCGCCGGAAGATCTGTCGTTGGTAGCGAGCCCCACGGCGCTTTTTATTCACACTACGGGAAGATGGTAGCGCGGACGGAGCCGAGAAGGGCGTGGAGGGCGGCTGGAAATGCCCCCGTTCCGAGCCCAGCCCAGGCGAATCCCGAAAGCTCACACGTCCCCTCCCTCCCGCCTCCTCCGTCCCCTTTGCCTCCTCGTTTTCTTCATGATAGGTTGTTGAAAGGGGGCGACAATTTAACAGCAGGCGTTCACTCCAACTCCCCCACCCCGCCCATGACGTTCGGGAAGCCTCGCCGCCACCCGCCGCCGCCGGGATCGCTCCAGCGTCGCCCGCCGAAGCCCCCATCACCCCATGGCTTCGCTCACAACTCCGTAAAGCCTGATTTGCCGCCACCTCCGCTGCGCGTCCGTCTTGGTGGTTGGGATCGATCCCCACGGGTGGATTCCGCTCCCCCAAAGGTCGTTGTGCTTGCTCCTCTTCCCCTCCCCTTACGTTCAGCCCCTCCATACTCGGGGCGTAGGAGAGGAGCACCAACAACAGATCCACATTCCACGTCAGCGCGGCGAAGACAAAGGCAACGTCCTCCATCGGAAGAAGCTCCTGTGAGGGCGGCAAGGAAGGAGGGGAAGTCGAGGAGGCCGTCCAGGCGGGGTGAGGGGAAACAGGCGGGTTAGGCCCTGCCGCCGGCAGGGAGGAGGATGCCCCCCACCCCGAGGTGATCGTCCGCGAAGAAGTCGCCTTGTTGCATGGCGAGGCTTCGGCAGGGATGCTCTCAAGACTTCTCGGAGGGCCCTGGGTGGATAGGCCCTCCAGCTCTCTCTGACTACCCCCTTCAGGCGGCTTGACGGGAGACCACGATGATGGTGGCAAGGCCTCTTGCTTTGCCTTGGCGTGTAGGCTGTGGAGGAGGCCAAAGGATGGCACATAGGCCGCCGCCGATGCATGGTGCTCCATGGGATATGATTCTCAACTACAAAGTACTGAATATTAAGAAAAATTATGATAATGAAGGATAAGAATAATCCAGATATGGAAAGAGGATGAGCATGACACCACAGCCCCGCTGACTTGAGGAGCACAATTTACTGCGGACAGCTAAATAGGCGAACCAATGGTTCATTCATGAGTATTTTTCATGTTACTTATTCTATTCCCATCCTATTATCTTTTTGATCCTGGACAAATACGAACGTTTCCATTTATTAATACATAGCTAGAAAAATGAAGTAAAACTCAGATATACATGTCTGTATATACTATTTTGGAAGCAGCATTCCCCCCATACTTCCATCTTAAATTTAGAAACGTGGATACCACATTTTGTATAACCTTTACTATGTTACGAAAATCCATATATAAAACTTAAAATACTAACCATGACTCTCTTTGACTCTTCATCGCCGACATCCAGTGGTAAACGTACAAGAGGAGCGCCATGCCACACGAATAGCATTGAATGGAATCAAATACGCTGAAGAGGAAAAATATGAATGCACGAATATAGGCAATCAATGGGGAGGAAACATACCAATATAAATATATATAAATATATACAAATGTATGTCATTGTTAATTATATTTTCAAGCCTAAGCATGCAATCAAAAGATTATACACTTTCTTTTACCTCTGAGGGTAAAATATAATATAACAAACGGGCAGCATAATGTAACTTCAATAACAGACGACTAAATTATTATAATGATGCGTTAATTATTTATAATTACTTTGTCTTACTTTCTTCTTTTCGGCATGGAAAGCAACTTAATAATCCATCATCTATTAGAATATAAGGGAATGGATCCTCTCCCCTTTTCGATCCATCTCTTAGGTACGCAGAAGCATCAAAAACGCCCCACACTTCTGCGTGCCATATGATGATTATGCAGTTCATTTAGAAGTAAAGTAAAGCAGAGAGAGACAGTTTAACAAAATTAAAAAAAACAGAGGGGTAATATCACTTTATATAGTTTCTGACCATAATAGCGATAAATCAACTAGAGATACTATTGAAGCACACACTACTTATCTCACTCCCTCTCGTGCATTCCTTCCTACACATCAGTCATTCTCAACACGCTTTGTGGATATAAGATACGGCATGTCTCAGTCTTTTGGATATTTCATTATTTACCGCTTGCACAATCTAAAGAAAAGTGAAAACCATAGTGAATTGCTCAATACCAGGAAACTTGGAAATAAAATTCCACTGTTCGTTTCGTACCTCACACCGTGGTTATCATCGCCAAAGTGCTCGTTTATCCAACCTCTTGAACCTCTCGCATGGAAATCGACCGAAAGCGGTCAAACTTTTTAAAAATGGACAGTTACAGGATAATTTGTAAAACACATGGTGCAGAGGGCGACTTACACTAAACCACACAATAACACACATAATCACACTAATTGAAAGTAAAAAAAACAATTACAGGAGAACAAGACGAGAAATATATATATATATATCATTTATCTTTCTACATACGTTTATATGGAAGGGCAAACGATAAATGATAAGAGCAACAATTCCTCAAAAACTAATTAAAAGCAAACATAACGTGCAACAGGTATTTTTTTTGAAAAAATGAAATAATTTCTTTAAAATTTCGCATTTCCGAAAGGAATTAAAAATTTCCAAAACCACGCGTTACTGCGTGATTTTTTTTAACATTCACAAAATCTTCTTTCTTACGTATTATTTCCCTATTTGCTACTTGATACACTTTTACTGGGACTATGGATACCTTGCGAAAAAAAGGCAGCCGAGATCAGTGCGGTGAAGAACAGTGTCATCACCCACCCACAGTACATGCGTAGCACCACATTCCATCGGACATTCCGAATTCCAACATCCGCTATACTGATAGCTACCACCGCACCCGTGATACAATGTGTTGAGGAAATTGGGATTCCATATAGTGTCGCGAAGGAAACCACCATCGCTGTCGCCAACTCCGCCGCGAAGCCACGAAAAGGTGTGATGACAGCAATTTTATCACCCAGCAAACGCATGATGTTCATACCGAAGGTCGCCAACCCGACCACGATGCCGACGCCGCCCAAGCACAGCATCCACAACTTCACCTCTGCCTCACTGGATACGCTGTGCGAGGAGTAGATACCCCAAATCGCGGCGAGGGGGCCGATGGCGTTACTTACATCGTTGGCGCCGTGCGCGAGCGAGGTGCAGGCCGCGGTGAAGACTTGAAGGTAGCGGAACATGTACTCCGCGCGGGGATCAAAGTGGGGGGTGCCCTGCTTGTCGTAGCAGACAAAAGGGTAATCCCCATCGATCTCAGGCACCACCGGCTCTGACATCGCGTTGCCGGCCTCCCTTCGCTCCTCCACATCCTCGTCGTTGCTGTTCTCGGAGGTGTCGTGGTGGTCCTCATTCGTGTCGTCGTTCTCGTCATCATTGTTGAAAACGACGGCGCCGGTGGTTTCGACCGGCTCATCCAGGCTCTTCGCGACGTTGTCTTTCTTATCGCACCGCACTGCCGCCCCGCCAAAGGTCTCCCCGTTCATGTCTCGCATTTCTCTGGAGTCCACTTCCCGGGCCTCAGGGTTGATATTGGACGGTTTGGCAATCACGGATACTTCGGGAAGCGTATCAGGGGGTAGCGGCCGCCCAACAATCAGGATTGAGCGCATGGCCTCGATCACAGGGATCCCTTTCTCAGCCGCCACCATGTTGGCCTCTTTTTCCATGCCCCGAATACGTCTCCTCAGCAGGGCGATGCACGGGACCGACAAAAGAGCTAAGCCGGCGCTGATCACCACCGAAACCCACAACGCACGACCGGCGGACCAGCCTAACTTGCTCCCCGCCGCAATCAAAAATATGAAGAAAAACTCCATGAGGCAGGTTATGAATACAACTGCAGGCAATGTATAAGGAGCCACACGAGAACAATTTTTACGTTGCAGGATAAGGTAGCGCACGACATAGTAGATGAGTATGGAGACCACTCCAGCGAAAATCGGTGATGCAATCCAGGATATTATGATCGGCACTACACCAGTGACGTAGGGGAATGAATTCGAGTGATCTGCCCAGTGAACAGCACCGAAGCCACCGTACACCAACGAGAAACCGAGGATGCCGCCCGCCACACTCTGATGCGACGATACCGAAAGCTCCTTCCATGTTGCAATGAGAAGCCAGAGGAACGTGGCACCAAGCGTGCAGAGAAAGCCATACATCAGAACGTAGGGATCCTTCTCGAAAGAAGAGGCACTTGCGATACCGCTGGACATGGTCACAGAGACCTTGCTCCCGAGAAGGGCCGCACCACCGAACTCACAAAACGTTGCGATAATGATAATCTGCGTAAGTGTGAGGACGCGGGAGCCATAGCTGGTCCCGAAAGCGTTGGACAGATCGTTCGCACCATTACCATAGGCCACAAGGAAGCTTGTGATAATCCCAAGAATGAAGATCCACAAGTAGGGTTGAACCATTCGCCGCTTTTGATTGGAATATGATAGACCAGACAATAAAAAGGGTAAGTATGTACTGTATGCTTTAATCTTTGCAGAAGGCAGGCGAAAGTAGTCCTGGCTGAAGCAAGAAAAGAAAAGGTGTGTGAAGAAGAAGTAGAAAAGTCCTTTATATGCTCAAATGAAAAGATAATTAAGCAGATCTCATTCTAGCACTGCTAGCAAAATTTATCAATACGTACTCTTGCTCAGATGTACGGAGAGCCAGTAATTGTGGAGAGGGGTATCTAGATTAAGAGAAAAAAGGCGTATGAGGGTCTCACTATATGAGTACTCTCACTCACAACTTTCCCTTCCTCCCCCCCTGTGGCACCTCTTTTTTCATGAGATGCACGCACAGATGTCTTTTTATCATTGGGGTTCGGGAGTCGGCAACGTTATGGACGTTGCTTCTTTGACGCTGCGTACGCCATATTTTTTGCATGATTCAACAACCACTTGTTTAGGACAATATCATCCCATACGACAAAGCAGATAAGCACCAGATAGAGGTAAACACTCCAAAGATCCTTTCCTCTTCGTATGAGCCGGACGAGATAGTACACCTGCCAACTCCAGTTGATGCTACAGCACAGGCCATAGACCACCAGCGCAGCAAAGGAAAGAATATGAGCAAGCGACGTGGACAACCCAAGGAAACGCGAAGCTAATAGCACATTCACACAGTAGCCAAATGAGGAAAACCCTGCGTACACCACAATGCAACGGAAAATATTCTCTTTTTTATAATCATTCATAATGCTAAAGTAGTTAAACACCACGACGCACAAGTGGTGTATCCATGTGGACCACCGCATGCGCTTGACGATGATCATGGCGACAAAATCTGGAAGGGTAAAGATGCAGCCAAGATTGCGTAGGATATGGCTTTCCCACTCATCGTACAGCACAATGCGAATGAGATGGAACATCGCGAATGGGGTAATGCTGATCAGAATACCCGCCTTAATGAGATTTCCGATAATGTAGAACTTCTTGTCAATCGAAGCGATGCGGCGAAAGGAACTCGAGTCGCGCTCAAGAAAGTAGTAAATCATGTAATATGAGGAAAAAGTCAGGTAGCTGCCAACAAGAAACAAACAGAGGTGGTCCCGTGTATCCAGAACATGATTCTGGAGGAAGCAAACCACGATAATATTTAGCAGGCTAGCTATCCCCGTCACCGCGATGGCAGGCTCGAGATTGATATTCACGTCCAGAACATAAGCACGCACAAATGAAGTAGGACTGGACGACGGAAACCTCGTCGAAAAGTTCCTCTCCGCGGAGTCGCCGCTGGAAAAACGCCCAGGACCGCGGCGGTAGCCCGGGACGGTATCTATAGAGCTTGCCGCGGTCGAAATGAGGGGTCCCGACTCTCTATTGGGAACGGAAGGCGGAGGATAGAAAAGATTCCCATCACCACCACCAGACGCAAGGTTGGTGTCGTTTCTCGGTCGCAGACCAGACTGCGTGGTCAAAAAAAGTGTAGGCAGTGATCGGGGTTGCGGGAATTGCGTGGAGGCATGCGATGGTGCCGACCGCGTGAACGGCGACAGTTCCTGCGGCCTGACATTAGAGAACTCGTTGAGTGCTAGCGAGTGTGTTGGCGAACATAATGGCTTTGAGTTACCTCGCGAGGCACCCCCCACCGGCACGTTGATTGGCGAATATTCCCCACTAAAATCCGACCCTTGATGTTGATATCCCGCATGAGCAACCCCTGGAAAGCCGAGTTGCCTGCACTCATAATACGCCTTGATGATTTCCAAAAGCTCCGCATCAAAGTCATTCATCAGCGACGTCTTTCCAAGTCTTGCAGCAACGGTATGAAGGGCTCCCGTCTGAAAATTGATGTCCTCCGGCAATAAAAAACTTGTCGTCCTATCGCCAGGAATGATCTCATTTGTGTGAAGATGGCCTTCAGAAAATGAAGTACGGCCGTGTGTTATGCCTCCGTCAGCGTAGTGACCCCCCTCCTCGATATCGACCTCGGCCACAGCATCTTCCGATGCCTCGTTAGATCGCCAGGCCCTGGGTGAAGAACACGCACGCTTCAGATTTGGCGACATGAGACTGCGACGATAAGGAGCTTCACTTTCGTTCTCATCTTTGTAGCCCCTCTCCCCTGAGGACGACCCAATGGGGTGTCCGATATTATCCTGAGCCTCATCGTATCCCTTGCTGTGGGGTTCTGAGGGGGAATCGCGTGAGTCGGTCTCAGATGCCTGATCTACGTACCGTTTTACTCGCTCCACATAACTCCAATAGGGATTATCTTCGTGTCTGTCATAAGCCCCCAGCTCATCGTATACGTCGGCGGTGGCATTACTAGTCATCGTGTGGTCAAAGTCATCAACTTGGCTTCTATTAGAGGGTTTTCTCCACATTCTGATTCCGACGACTCCTGTGCAGCTGTTCTTTTTAGCAGTATCGATACCTATCGAAGATAGGAACGCCGATGGGGAGTCTGGTTCGCCCCTCTCGCTTGAATTCATGCCGACAAGCAAAAATAAGATCAGTGCTCCCTAATCCAAGCTCAACGAAGTCCTAGTGTGTTGTGAAAAGTGTATCTTTTCTATACTTAAGAATGGCAACAGCCCCCACTCGCTCTCTATCCCCTTGTATGAGGAAAACGGGAGGACTATGCAAAAAAGTCTATATATTGCAATGCAACGATAAATATATGCATATTAGTCCTTACCTACGAGGAATGACTTTTTCTTTTTCTCTTTCGCACACCCTTTATTACCGCTTTATGCCGAAGGAAAGAAATACGCTAGAGTTGGAATCGGGCTTGCGATTTTGTAATACGTACAGGTAAGCGGACATTTCAACAACGTCCAAGAATAAGCAAGGCTAATACACAGCCCCACGCTAAAGTAACCTTTATAAATCCCTCTTCGAAAAGAAGACATGTTATTTCATTTATTGATTGTAAGATTAAAAAGCCTATAATGTATAAATTACGCAAGTTTGGCGTAGAGTGCTATAGATCATATGCAGATAATAACTTAAGAAATTAATTAAAACTGTTGGGCTTGATCCGATATTATCATTCATCTTACATTTTCGTTTCCATCACGTCTACGTTAATTCAGGCCTACGGCAAGAAAAATGAGAGGGATAAAAGGCTATCGCGTCGCACACTAGAAACTATTATTCGAGTACTCTCTTAATTGGTGTGTTGTTTTCTGAGACCGCCATGGCGTCGCGCCAGGACTTGTCTTGTATTCCTAAGATAAAATGCAAAATATTCGCACACACGTCCCTGCCATTAGAATATATGCTATGCCCACTGAAAAGATCTGATGCTTTCCGTTCCTTACTCGGGTCAACTGCCGCGTAATAACGTTCCTCATCGGGATCGATCATGGCCTGCATGGATTCCCTTGGGTTAGGCGGAAATATCGATACCAAGGCCCCGTCTTGCGCAATGCCAGGTGCCAACGGGTTCGCCAGCTCCATTTGTGTGACACCGCGACACACACCATGCCATTGACGAATGGCTATATAGGCCGATAAAGCAAAGGTAATGAGACTGGTATGGAATAAGCACACACCGAAAGTGTTGGACAACGTGGGGGTAAAATAAAGGAAGAAAAAGTATGCCTCCTTAGGGAACCGCTCGTAAAAGGGCATTGACATTAGTTCTATTTTTGACTCAAGCAGGCTGAGCCTTGGGGGCTGGTTGCCGGGCAGTCCATAGACAAAAAGTTTCATAAGGATCTTTGCCCACTTCCAGAGTGCTTCAAAGATGCATACACTCAGCAACGGAATATTTTGAGGGTCAGTGGCAATAAAATTCCTTTCTTCTCGGACATACTTTTCAATGCTGCTCGCATCCTTGAAAGCGATAGTGATGCTTTCATGCCATGCCCTGTCCATTCGCGCGATGGCCCCTGTGTACATTATTGCCTGTTGCAGACCCCAAGATAATATAAGCCCCTCAAAAAGCGCAAGAAAGGTGATACTTAGGACGAAGGGCAAATGGTTCGACTCCCCCACCGGGCAATCCAGCAGGATCGAGTACCCATCGTAACGCCTTATCACGACATCCCTCTCGGGACAGTAAAACGAACGCAATGGAATCTGAGCATGTCGCTCCATCAGGTAACTGCGGGGATGAAGCCAACGATACGCACGTCGCTGTAAGATACGCCAAAGAGGTGAGGTTTGCCATGTTCCCCCCTCACATTTTTTATCTACACTCCGCATTGAAAGGCATTTAGTAAGCACCATGTTCGTTATTGTGAGGCCAAGGAAAAGTGGTAGTACCGTCATGATCATCCTGCTGAGAGAGCTCCCGAAGAAGTATCCCAAAGTGTAGCCACCGAAATACTGATGGACGTCCTGTACTATAGTGTCAACTACTTTCAGGGTTTGGGGATCATTCTGAATCTTTGAGCGCAAGTTTGCGTCGGAATTCGATAATGTCGACATACATGGGAGAAAGGGTGTGAAGCCGAGACTGTGCCACGCCATCACTTGCAGGCCCAGAAGCGTCAGAATCGCAAAGAGGTTTGAGGGTTCGCGCTGACGAAACACCCACGTACCGCGCAGGGAACCTGCGATGCTGGAGACGATCACGTGTGCCGAAAAGAAGCCATTCTCGCGCTTGGGAGCAGGTCTGCTACCTTGGATGCGCTGTGGGGTCAGGTAGTCCCATAAGAAATTTTTCAGCAGGTAGATCCATATAAGGAAGTAGCTGAAGGCTGGGTATACGAAATGAAAAAAGAGGTAAAAAAAGACGATATAGACTACACCGGCTAGTGCACGAAGGGCAAACATAGGATGAAACCGCATCATGCGTAGCGTACCCGCTGCTCGACGTTCCCGCACAGTGGCATAGCTATTCTTAGCGTGACACTTTGACGGCACAGTGTGATCGTCAAGAATGAGAACGGACTGATAAGCAACTGTGTCGCATGTTGAGGCCTTTCTACCTGTCTGTATTTCTACGAGCGGATCTGTCTTGAGATGAGACGCTGCACTCTTGGCATCCTTCTCATCCGTAGCAGGTAACTCGACACAACACGAAGAATTGGGGTACCTCTTTCCTCCGCACGGGTGGGTCTCCAGTACGTATGTCGCCTCAGGATGGCCACGACTCTTAGTATAATGAAGAGCAGTATATCCATCCTCATCAACCACGTCTGTATCGGCACCGCAGCTAAGCAAATATTCAATCACTTCTGCGAAACCCTCTCGCGCTGCCCAGAGCAGTGGCGTGCGGCCTTGGCTGTCACGCACATTTACCTCATAGCCCCAGTACTCCACAAGATATTGGCACGTTGTGGCACTATTGCGCCATGCAGCCCAGTGCATTAAGCCGTGGCCTGCCGTATCGCGGAGGTCAGGGTTCAGGTAGTAGAATTGGCAGTTTTCACGTTCACCGTCACCCTTTGCCGGCTCGCTTTGCACGTACCGACCTCCTTCCAAGCGAAGCACCCCGGCCGCAATGCTATCTTCGGTAAGCATCACCAACGATGGCAGCTGATCGTTCTGCACGGCCACAAACGCGGCATCAAAGCCTTGGTTGTCCCGTTGCCAAGGATCAGCCCCATGGTCAAGCAGGAAACGTACCACATCAAATTTACCGGCAATAATAGCCCAGTGAAGGGCAGTATGACCAAGTGAATTACACGCATTCACCGCCGCCTCTTGGTCGACGAGGAAGCGCACTATGGACAGATGACCTCTAAACGCAGCCCACATAAGCGGCGTCGCATCCTGGGATTCGTACAAAGCGTGGCGTGTCGCAACATTGATTCCCCCCTGCTGGCACATATACATCACCATCGGTAAGTTGCCGTATGCACAGGCCTCCTCGAAGCACGACGGCTGCTGCCGACGACGGACCGCATTGTCGTGCCGAAGCTTATCCTTCAGGCGCTTATCGGCGTCACCAGCCTCAAAGGTGCTGCCACAATCACAGATGCTGTACGGGAAGGCATCAATGGGTTTGACCATCTCCTGCGGTGTTCCCGGCAGGTAAGTATCCAGGCCGAGAAGTGCTCCCAAAGACATTTTTGTATCCTCTGTTGTCGGTTTCGGCTAGTCAATCACACTTCCACACGAACAACGGTGCCACACAGCTGAGAGAGAGAGAGAACACACTAAGCCACAGCGCCTGCAGTGCACTCGTATCCTTTATTATAACGCGGACCAGGATATAATGGTGGTTCTCCAATTACTAACGAAAACTTTGGAAAATAGGTTGGTAATATTGAATTAAAACAAACTCACAAAAAACAGATGAAAAAATAGTAGTTGTCTATTTTTTTTCCTGTATATGATACTATATAGGAATACGCACCAAACCCTTTTTTGTAGGCAGGAAAAAAAGGAAAAGGCTATGTTTAATGATAGCACGCCTACATCCACCTGTAGCACATAGTTCCTCGAAACCTGGCGAAGCTAACTGGAAACCGCATCTGTGATTAAGTAATTTGCAGCAAGAGGATTAATATTCAACAAGTACTTTTACCTCTTCCTCTGCGGACTATCAAGTCTCGCTCACAAGCTCCGTCGTTTCCTAAGTCCTCAAGTGTAATAGAGTTACCTGGAGGCAAGGCATACGCGGGATTCCCATTACAGGCAGCAAGCCCCTGGTCAATGCAAAAATCACTCGCAAAAGACACGTATCTGTGTTAGCTTCTTACCAATGTCTTCAATTTTGTTGAATCTCGCGTGCACATACCCTTCGAATATATGTCATCCATAAAGAACGAACAGACTTAATGACAGCCTTTCATGAGGAGCCATCAGTATGAAGGTTATGACACAGACCTCTGTCTACGTAGCTAACCGCAATGCACAACGGTACCTCACACCCTCAGTAGATACCTCCTCTCTGTTGGTCACTTCAGGCTGTCTGTGTCATGTCCCACATGATAAATTGGTGTCGTGGGGAGGAATCCCCAAAGTTGGCAATGGGAGCAGTGTGCGTGCTTCCTTCTCTACTCTGGCACTCATAATCTGTACCCCAATGCGACATACTCTTAACATAAAATGCCCCATCATCCAAACCTGTCGTGATATCACCTCGACCTAAACCGTATATTCACCTTCAAAGGAGTCATATTTAAGCACAGCGTGAATCACTCGCGCCTGAATAGGAATGTGGCTCGAGAGACCCAATTGTTGTTTAGTGTTATTCAACTTTTCCATAACATTTGCTTTTACAATGTAAACGTTGTGAGCCGGAACTGCACCACCGGTCTCGTAAAATCTTCATATGCGGTCTCCATTAACTCCCTAATTGCTTCCTTCGCATCATCAATTGTTCAAACCGTAGCTGACTTTTCTGAAACACTTCATGAGATGCTGATCTACCTGAAATTATGCAGCACTATTGGTGGAAACAAATCCCATAGCCTCCAGCTTTTACTCACTTTTAAAAAATGAGAACATGAGTATAAAGATCTATTTAATCGCTATCCTGGGGGTAGTAAAACAATAATAGGGAATCAGAACCGGTCGAACTAATATAACTCTGTATCCAAAGGACGCAGTCATAACGTAAGACAACAAAAAACTATCCTCGACCTCCTTTGCCGTGATAAAAGTAAATCATGCACATATAGAGATGAATGAAATATGTCTTGCCATACGGGTCCGAGATAGAAATATATATACGATATTTGATTACCCCTTTTCTGTCCGAAACATCACATCACATCATGCATATCGCAAGAGAATATGCGTCTCCTCTCTTTGAATTATCTTATCTTCTCAGTAAAGACTCTCAACGAAAATCCTCTACATCCACACGTGTGTATATTTGCATACGCGCTTATATTCCGGCGTCCCCGTCAAAATGAAATGGGGAAACAAAACTTTTCAAACAAAATAAGCGATCTCACTCTTGGAAGGGGAAGAACGCTTTTTTATTGTCTTAAAGAGATGCTTTCATAATGCTATAAAGAAGATCTATTCATCATTTCTCATGAGCGCACTGCTTTACTTTGAGTCTCTTGAAATATCGCTCTCACTATCACATACCCCCACACCAGCCCACTGATAAACGGTGTTCGGATCCCGCAGTCGTTGAGAGTATTTTTCAGGGTTTGTGCGGACCTGCATGGCCAGTTCCTCGAGGGCTCGGCGTGTATGTGCAGCCCCTTCCTCCTCGTACAGCGATATCTTTCTATGACTGACTGGAAAAAGAAATTTATGATCTTTCTGGACGCCATAACTCGAGGAGACTCCGTGTTGCGCGTTGCTGGCATCTCTTTTCTGAATGGCCGCCTTCCACGCAAGATAGCGTCCGCTTTCTACTGTCATAGGCCTTGCAAAGGGTATTTCGCGGTGCGCAGCAGGTGGTAGGTTCTCCTCGGGGATGTTCGACTCAGCCCTCCTTTCATTCTTAAGGACTCCCATCAGACAGGACCAAAAAGTGCGTGCAAAAGATCCCCCATACCACAATAACAGGACTAGAAAGGTAGCCTCCCTATTCTGCGCGATGAGCAACAGGAAGTTGGTCACCACAAGGCCGTGCATTCCCCAGCGTGCGCCGACGCAAAGAAGGCGGTCGGAAAAGAAAAGATGCATCAACAATGATGACAGCATGCCTGCGAACAGCAGAACAATCCCCCAAGACACAACCCCCGGCAATCCCCTTAAAAGCTCCTGAAGGCTGAGAGGAAGGAAGGAAAACATGCCGGCGCTCAGAACGGCTGGGTTAGCCAATACATAACCTACCGCGCTTAGCATGACCTCCGCAAGCGCAGCAACCCCGCCCACCGCGAGAATCACAACCACGCCGATCCTTCCCACACTCAGCGCCTGAAACTCTCTCACGAAATGCAAAACAAAAAGGATGATCAGAATGAAGCTCCCGTATACTGCGCTGAAGAGGATACGCAAAAGGCGGCTGTCCGCCATACGAACCTGAAACAGGCGTAGACCTACCAGCACGAGGCCAAGCTTTAGCCAAAGAAAATCGAAGACAAGAGATTCCTCAAGGTGGATAGGCAGGGATGACGCGGTATCTAACCGGTTACGCGTGGATTGAACGGCTGCTAGCGCGAGGCACGTCGTCTGCGTTGCTGGCAGTGTTGCTTTCCATATGAAGTAAAAGTCCTTCGGCTGCGAGGATTTCGTGGCTGCAGTTATAGTACGTCGTCCCTCTTTTGAGGATGCGTTGCGTTGACTTCCCTGGTCTCTATCACGCTCTTCTATGTATTTCTCCACCGAAAGAACACGACGGCCAAGCAGCTGCTGGATCCACTCAGGCAACCACAATTGTACGTGCGGCTGGTAAGGCCCTAACTCTTCGCGTAGCCGCGATAAGAAGTCCTTCATCTCATGCATCACTTGTGGAGAGGGCCTGGGATGACTTTCATCACCACCTGCATTGAAGATATGAGCTTCTCCGTTGTCTCTTTCTTCGCCAAAATCGTCAGTTTGTTCGGAGTGGAGATCGACGTAGCCATTGTCGCGGCGTTGAGAGAAACCCAAAAAACGCTTCAACAGAAGGCAAATCCAACGGATGACGCCGCCAGAAGCGAGACCTTGCTCGCGTCCGGCTAATAGCCGTCCCAACAAACCATCCCCTCCGACCCCAACGTGTCGGCCGTAGTCCTGGTCCTCTTCCTCGTCAATGTATTCGTCAGTCCGTGCTCTCCTTTTCAAGGAATGCGTGCGCTCTGGATCGTCTTGAAGTCCCCGAAACCTCTGTAAATATGCCCGGGTGTAAAGAACTGAGGGAAAGTCGCATGTAAGGCGAATTTTGTCTAACGAGGTCTTACCATTCGGATCACGCGAAGCGAGTTGCCGCAACGGTGTGAGCTCTTCGAGCTCGACCGACACCGCGGGGTAGGAGACAATCCGCAGGCGCTTCAGCGAGCCCTCACTAAAAAGTGCCGCCCTCGATAGACGTGTGGCGCCCTGCCCCTGCTGCTTCCCTCGGAAAACCGAACGCGCGAACCCGTCCGCTGCCGCGTCGGCCTCGTGAACGAGCGGATCCACCGGGAAGCGGATGGTGATCACGCGAACCGCGAACAACCGCGCCAACGCGCCCGGATAGTACCAAGGGTAGCTCCTCATCCGAGCCCAAATGGGCCGTATGGCGGCCATCACCCGAAAAAAACATGACTCCAACCTCTCATTGCCGTTTCTCGAAGCCTCCTGAGCTACAGGGGCCGAATCCTCCTCCATGAAAGGGGAGGGCTCTTCCCCTGGAGGCCGAGAACGAACCATCCGGGCGTGAAGAAAAGACATATCCCTGCCGTGTAGGGGTGATTGCAGGGTGGCCTCAGGGAGGCCTAACAAAACGTGCACCGCCCCACTCTCTGGATTAGCGGGATCGAGTGCACGGTATCGAGGGGGCGTCGGAGGGGAACCCCGCGATGGAACGCCCGAGTTGGAGGTGATCCCAGAGCCACCACACCCCTTCCTTGTAGGCGCCTGACTCGGTTTTGTGGCATACAGCCGACAAGCGAAGGAGATGCGCTCACGAAACCCACGGACGAGACCTTCCAGGGTCATGGATTCCCGCAAACCCCTCTCATGACTCCTCCCATCATGGGCTGTGTGAGCGGGGAAACAGGCTGATATGGGGGGCGTGTTCGCCTGACAGGTGGCGTTGGTTTGATCCAAGCCCCCCAAGGTACGGCTGCAGGGCCCTGTAAAACAAGCGCAGTCTTCACAACGGGGTCCCAAGACCTGAGCCTTTAGATCGTGTACGCGTGATTCACTGGTGAAAATGACGGGCTCGGTTGTATCCCCCCTGAAAGCTCGACCCGAGGCGGTCGTTGGGGGGCTGATAGGGGATATCCCACCGATTTCATCATCCTCGCAAAGGCATCGCGTTGTGCTCGATAGCAGTAGCACCACTAGTAGGACTACATCTAATGAAGAGACACGCATGACAATATGTACAGTCGTTGTCTGTATTCTCCACCTCCTCAAACTGAATAATATCCCCCGTTTTGATTCCCCTTTTTATTTTCACGAGAATATATGCAACTGGGCTGCCAATGGAACTCTCTGTTTCCACAATTCGGTTTCGGGGATTCCAGAGGAAGTTTCAAGCCAGCAACAAGAGAAAACGACAAAAGAAAGGACCCAAGCGGAACCAATAGTCGGAGAATAAGTTCAACACGAGCAATTTATTTAATGCTAACCTTCGTGATTGGATGGATCTGTGTGCATATAGGTCCACTGACTGATAGATAAAGAGCAAAGCAATGAAAGGAGCGAAGAAGAAGTAAACAAAAAAAAGAACACACAAAAAAAACATTGTAATAGCGACAAGGGTACAGTGTAGAAAATCCATCATGAATAGTTCAGTATACTGAAGGTGATTAAATGAACAGGGACATACAAATAATGATAAAGAAATCTTGTTCATGGGGGATTTAATATTTTAGTTATTATTTTACATTGAATGCGTACATGATATTTTACTCTAAATTCCTGTCTGCTCCATGCCATACGCATATGACTTAATTTCTACGTTACGCTCATATTCACCATAATGAATATAAAAAGAAGAATTAAGTTAGTCATTACAGCAAATCAATCTTTTGGCTTCATTACTCCCAGCCTATGTATTTGGATAAAAATACATGTGTTATCATATTTATGTAGCTTCAACATCCGTTTAAATAATGCTTCGTACAAGATTTTTCCTTGAAATATAAATATATATATATATATATATATTTATATATTATAGACATGTACAGCAAAATAGAGAGGCAAATAACTGTGCAAGCACAAAAATCTAGAGAAGGGCCTTCATTGCTTGTCACTTTATTTTTTGATACGGAATAATTAAATAATTGAACAAAAGGCAACAAAACTCTTATTTACTCGTGATGTAACTAACATAAATATGCTCGATATCGAGCAAAAAAATTTGCCCGATACCGGCAAAGAAGTTGGTCTTTTTTGTGTGTGCCTCTCTCTACATTTACACAAGAAGACATTAAGATGGACGAGAGCTATTACCACCCCAGTCTTATAGGCACTAATTCTTTCATTACTTATTTCTACTATTGTATTATCAACATGATCAATGCGAACCGCTGGAAAGATAAAAAAAATCAAAAAAAATGCATTGAATCAATGATAACAGCAGATACATCTTGAAGGAGATAAACAAAAAAAAATTAATCCATAAATTGAAAGAGGACCTATGTTTAATTATCTAAAGACAACAAAAATAGGCAAACGAAGTGCCCGACACAGAAAATGTAACAAGAGCATATGAGATTTAGAGTTAATAAAATAAGGTAGGAAATTTGGAAAAAGACGAAGAGAGGGATGTAAATCCTTCAAGAAAGGGATGGAAAGGGTAAATATCCACCATCCATCGAAAAAAAAAATGTATCTAGAAATTGCTAACCGTAACGCATCTGCCTATTTTCTATACGACAAAAAGACAAAAGAAACAACCCGACTATCAGTATTTTTGAATAGCACCCGTAAAAAGCCCGGTGGTGCTGCACGCAATGACGACGCGTCCTCACTGCTTCTTCTAAAGTTTGAAACCTTTTCCCCAATTTAACAATACCGAATAAGAAACTCAGAAAAAAATAAATGAGAGCGAATCCTTCGGGTCCCTCTCATTAGATTATAAAAATCAAAACTTATAGGCACTTCAGCTCCAGGGAAAAAATAACCGTGGAAGCAAAATTCATCGTTTGAAACAAAAGCTAGCAATACTACTTTTTCGCTTAATAATAATCAAAATTCGATTCAACGAACTGAGACAGGAAATTGTTTTAATATATGTGATGAAGTTGTTGAATGGGACTTGTGATTTCATGTCAACATGCGTAAGTACGCACGCAGTTGTGATCGCTAGTCCCGAGACATGACACACTCTTACTATTACTGTTTACTAATGTTTTTTCCTTTTAAGAATGAGCTTAGTTTTGTATTTCATACAATAATCCTCCTCGAATTTCAAAACACCCCTCGGCGAATGTAAACGTCACAGACAAAACGAAGAGGATGATCTAATGTATTATAAAAAATGTTTTCATTATAAAAGTCAAATTCGTAGAATAATTTACACATTTTTTTTGAAATATCGGTAGTTACATCTGGGATAAGTTATCATAGTAATGATAACAAAACTCCAATAATCAATGCATATATCACTTCTAAATTTAATAAAAGCATATACACAATTATTGTAAAGGATGAAAGCAAAGCAGACAATCAAGTAGGAGTTTCTTGTAAAGATACCCAGCAAATATAAATTCGAACAAAAAAGATGGTTCAAAGAACAAAAGTGCTCAACCTCGATAAAAGATTGGAAAAAATACAAAAAAAGACAAAAAAAACTCCTGGAAGCTGGCCTTCCGATTAATAAAACAAATAAAGGTACTTGCATGAGGAGTATTTTCGGGAAAAAGAAGTTATTGGAATATTAATAAAGGACCCAATATAATGCTATATACATATACATAAATACATATACACATATTTATATATACGTATATGCAGCATTAAGAAACTCAAATAAATGATCAACGTTGTCCCAACCACGTGTGCATTAGGAACAATCTTAAAAACTGAATAAAAATCACGAGGGGAAAAAAAAATAGCCTGAAGGCGGTGTGTGTCTTGGATGATCACACCCCTTCCACACCATTCCTCTGACTTAGTTGTTGTTTTAAGAGGTGTTGACGGACTACCGATCTCGCAAGAGAGGGTGGTAGTCCATCGCCTCTAGGCATTTATCGCACGCCTCACGATGGCGCTGTTCATAGGCATTTAACCTCATTTGCGTCTTATGGAAAATGGTCGCCGGGGTGGTGTAGGGCTCGTCATCAAATGCAGAGGAAAACTCCTGAATCGGCAGCCCGTTCTCCCGTTGGCGACGACAGAGAAGGAGCTCCAATAACTCCACCTGCTCATCCAATTCCCTTTCATCACCTTCGTCGACGGGCGTCGGTTCCGGAATGGGATCCAGGGTGTAGCCAGGCTTCCCTTGCGCGAGGGCGCGCATGAGATCGAGCGCGTCGTGATAGGGCTCCGCCGGAGGCGGGTATCGAATCGTCAGGCCGACCATCGGCCTCAACGAAGGGGGGGATACCCACCCCATGACGTCCTCGTGGATGCCGGATGGGGTGAACTCCCCCCCTCTGCCGCTCGGCCGCGCGCCAAAGGGCCCCACCGGCGTCGCGAGGCCGTTGCTTCGGGCGCTCCGCCACCCTCCGCCGTCGTGGAAAACCGTCCACGAAGGGCTGCTGCTCATCCCTAAGGAATACGCGCCCGCGGTGGAGGCCATCGTCTGCCCGTCATCCCCGCTATCGGGGAGGGTTTTAAAGGGCGTGAGGAACATCGCGGGCAGGGGGGATCGTCGGTCGAGCCGCCGCCATAGGAGGGGACGCGGAGGATTCCCCCTCCCCCTCCCTCCCCCGCCCCCACCGCCGCGTTGCAACGCGCAGTGAAAAGACTCCTCCGGGGCCACCCCA